TGCAATTACCCTCTGGGGCCTTAGTGCCCTGCAGGATCTGACCATCACAACAACACTTGTTTATCTCCTATGGGTCCAGCGTGATGGAGTGCATCAAAGGTATGTGCTTGTTTGGAACTATGTGCCAAGGCCTGAGCTGTTTTATAGGACAACTACACTGGTTGGCAAGCTAATAATGTGGACCATTGGTATGTGTACTTATATGCATGTCTGCCTAATTACATGATTAATTACTTGATGATCAGAAACTGCCATCACAACAAAGTATGGTCATGATTTTGCACAAGACTCATTTTTATATCCACTCTGTTCTTACAGTGCCTTTTCAATCACAACCCTTATCTGTGTGAGTAACCATTCTGTCATGCAGCTGTTATTTTGTATAGCATCCAAGTTTCATACTAGGCCAGAAAATTGTCAGTGGTTATTGTGATTTTTGTTTGGACTCATTATTATTTTCAGTTATCTGGGTTGTGATGTTTATTATCCAGTCACGCAGTTAGTGCTCTTCTAGCCAGACCAAGCTTCACTCTAACTTCCTTTTGTTTCAATAGTTTATGTGAACTCTTTCTTTGCCAGGTGAACAACAGTTATCCAATAAATGGGTTATTAAATATCTGATCCAGCCTCAACTCATGCATGATTTTGCGCAACATGGAACACAGTCCATGCAGGATGGACACCTTTAGTATGACAACTCGGACAGTATCTTTTGCAAGGACCAGCACAGTGACACCCATGCCACCAGTCAGTATATTCCACTGATAGATTGAGATATCCTATGATTGGAGAATAGACTTGCCCTAAAACACAGCAGAATCTCTAATGCAGGAGGGCTGATGAGGTGGACCAATAGGGGCAGGGTTATGCTACTTTTGCACAAAAGGAAATGAAATTTAGGCGTCGCAGGCTGAGTCCTAAGGTGATCGTTGGGAGGGTCTTGACGGATTGGTGATTGTGCGGGCAAAGGAGGCTGAGGACGAGGGTTGGGGTGGGTTGGAGCGTCCAAGGGGGCGCCGGTCGGATGCACCTCAAATGCGCTTGGATGGTCCGACCAACATTGCGGATATTGTCGCGTGGCTGAGTGTCGGAATCGACGACTCCGTGGTCGTCTCTGCAGGAACCTCCTCCTCGGCTACTCTTGGCACCACTCGGACCCTCGATGGCCCCGCAGCCGTCTTCTTCTTTGCCTTCTCTTTGGTCATCCCAGCCTCCTTCTCGTCCTTGCGGAAACGCAGAGGCGGAGTGCCGTCCTCGCAGCGCACCTTGAGGTGGCGGCACTTCTCGCACGACATCTTGCCATGCCAGGTTGTATTGGGTCTGGGTTCGCGCCATATGCACGGGATCCCAGCCTTGATGCACTTGAGGCATTTCTCTGCCAAAACGGGTCAGGTTTATATTTCAAATAAATTCATATCTAGAGCTGTTTACCATGCTGAAATCTAAGTGAATCCCAGCTGGGTCCATAACCCCCACTGCTCATTATCTAACGGGCTGTCAAGCCTCTCTACCTGCCGCAGCGGCATTCCCTATCAACATGACTGTCGTCAGCAATTTATTCACGCCATGTCCGCCGTAAATACATACCTTGCCCTGTCTGCGCTGAGCACAACCAGTGACAATTGTTTGACAAACTTCATAAAGGGTTTTATTTAACACTCTTTATTTCCGGTTTATTCGTCATCATCAGAAACTTACTTACTCTTCAAATATAAGTGAAATAATAATTTACCTGAATATGGGAACATCTATAAGATAGAGATAGCATTAGTTAGCTTGTGTGAATTAGTACTATTGCAAGGAATTTCAAAGTGATTTTATGTCTCTAAACTAGCATAATTTAACATCCTGCAACTATAATAATATAATGATTATCTCATCTTTCTATTATTTTCTACCACATACTTATAAGGAAACTAAAACATATTGGCAATTTTTCGATTGTATTAAAACTATTTTCAAACATTTGTTGATGAAAACCAAAATATAATCTTCTACAGAAAATATTTTTCAGCCGTGCCAGAATGACCAACCACCGGGCCCAGCCTCTGGTCAGATCGTGACATCATGATGCCCCCTTGGAATTTGAGAAGGAGATGTGTGGAGAGCGTTGTCTCTGCGCTGGCAAACATACACGACATGGTGGTTCAATCATTGGTGGTTACGAAGAAGGAGGCGATTTGTGAAGCACGTGCTTCACGGTATGGTCCGTGCGCGACACATCATGTGTCAGCCGCCGATTCTTTCCTTCTTTCCCTTTCTGTCATAGAGGTGGTAGTAGTTGTTGACTTCGGGTAGTTGTTCAGCGCATTGTCGACTGAGTACACGGGCCATTAGTTGTATACAGTCCTAGGAAATGCCACCCTCTCGCCATCACTAATCCGATATGACTCTCGGCACACCATCCGATGCCCACGTCAGCCGATTTGTCAGCACACCTTCTCTGCATCGTACGACACGCGCGCGCATTTTTCTCCCGCCGTCTGGGGATTGGAGCCGCCGTTCGATGCTAGCTTTCAGCCTGCATAACGTGCGCATGCAGAAGTCAATCACACCCGACTGACACCAACTTGTAGTCCGTGCCGGGTCGCGACTTTGCCCCAAGAGCGAACCTGCCCTCGGCGTAGCGCGTCACTTGTCGTTTACTTGGCGGGCTAATCCACTCTCCTAGTAGGCACTTGTGACGGTTAAGCCAATCCTCAAAACACCATGAGCACTATAAATCGGGGCGCGGCGGCGTCGCGGAGGACTAGGATAGCTGAACAACACCGACCCCAGCTGCTGCAACCGCTGGCTCCGGTTCCGGCGCGGCCTCCGGTTCTAGGCCTCCCACGTGACGCTCCGCGCAGGCCTGGGCCCGCGGCCGCCCCTTTCGCCTTGCGTGAGTGCGCGTGCACCCAGTGCGATGCCTGTCCATCGCGGGGCTACGCCAGGCGCGTTGATTAGTGTCGGGATACATAAAATGGAGGAATGGAAGGACGTGGGCCCATGCACCTCGATCCGGGGTACTACTTCCAACTACCAACGAAAAGTGCCTGGGCGCTGGGATCAAATCCAACGGGGCTGCCGCCACTCAACAATCGTGCGGACCACACACACTGCACCGCCTTGGGAGAACAGTGGTCATCTCCGATGGGCCTCAAGCTTGCGGCCGGCGGAGGGAACTTGACGTGATAAAGAAGTACTTACTGGTGAGTCCACGTTGCTTTTTATGTGTGAAGCTGGAACTCTGAGTCCCATCGGTGTCTCCGGTCAGTCGATGAAACCTTGCCACGATCCTTGCTACTCCCTCCCGTAGATATATTTTTCCCGCACTCCCCTCTTTTCCACCATCCAATGCCAGAAATCCGTCCACCCATCTTGACATCTCGTCCCCGATCAGGCGCCGCAATGCTCGGGAGGCGCCGCATCGGCCCATTCCATTTGTCATCGTTGGATCTGAAGACCTCCAATTCCTGTCGACAAATACCACAATTAATCGAAATTCTCGAAACACGCCGTGACACGGCGCATCGAACGCCCAAGCTCCCGCTCCCAGCGCTGCTTTTTTTTTCTTCGCCAGCACCTTGCGCATCCCAACGAATGGATGGACGGTCTCCTGTCAACGGACAACCACATCCGCGAGTCCGATCGCCGTCCACCTCTCCGCCCATCCCCCTCTACCGGTTACCACGGCCCGCTCCATTTGCTCCCTGGACGCAGACCAAGCACCCAAATGCCGCGGGGGGCTGTGCCGACACGCGCCAAGCTCCTACGCCGGCCGGGTTGTCAGCACGTCGCTGTCAACTGTCGCTGATCGGCGGAATGCGGCACCTGATCGACGATCAATAATTTTCATGCGGCGTCTTCCTCATGCGCGGGCTTATAATCCAAACAATTTACCGGCGGCCGCACGTGCCGGAGCCGATGTGGGTGTCGATGTCGATGTCACTGTTGGTGTCGATCGTGCCTGCGCACTTGCATTCGATATTGGCGTGCCAGCCGAGCCTGCTACCCGGTTAGCGGTCAGCGCGATTTGTCAGCGCTGGGCGGGATTGGCGCACTGCGACTGTGGTTCCGTTTACCCGCATCTTCTCGGAGAACTGCCCGTCTCCTTTGTCCGTGTCTGTGGCCCGCGCGTGCCTAATCGGGTACCTGCGCCACCACACGCGAGACGTCGAACCGCTGTGCTTCGCACTACTTCTCTCCGTTCCAACTCCCTTACCGCGGCTGGGAGCGTATCCGGCAAGCCGGGTTGCTACACCTCTGGGTGCGTTCCCGGCTTGCCGGACCGGGCGACGCGGGTTTCGGCCACGTCTTCGTTTGACGCTTGATCGCCTTCCTTGCAAATTATTCTGCATGCAACACACAACGAGCAACGAGCTTAGGCCCAGGCCTGGCCCTGTTGCACTGGCAGCATGAAACGGGGGAGGAAGTCCGCGCGTCGACTTGCTGAGCCTTCTTCCCGGCGTCTTACTTTCGACTCCGTTGCCATGGCCATCCGATCCAGCAGCGGACCGCATGAATTCAGACTGAATGCGGCACGTCAACAAGCGTGCGAGTCTGCGTCGGCTAACATATCTGTGCAATCTAGCGTGTTGCGTCCAGCGTCCCAATCCGTCGTGGACTGCGTGCATCGACGTCAGCGTTTCCCGGCTCGGGTCCGATTCAGCATTTTTACTGATTTGCAGCAGCGCCGGCCAATCGCGTAGCCCCACCCACTCTCGACTCGCGAATCACCGTAACCCAGGACGCCACACTCGAACTCGACGTCGTCTTCCACTTAAATTCAAATCGCGCTCGATTGGGGACGTCTGTGCACATGGCCTGTGCAAATGCGGGCAAGTTCCCCATCGTTGCTGTCAAGCGGCGAATAAGTTGTCGAGCAGGAACGAGGCATCGTCTCTGGTATTTCACTGTCAATGGAGTTGCGATATAAGTTAGCTAGCGGCTACAGTACAGCTGGCACATGGGGGGTAACTACTTACGACGACACGTATGAATGAATTAGGTAAGAGGTATTAGGGATATACGAAGGACAGAAATGGAACAAGTGTAGGTCGTGAGCGAAGAAAATGGGCTGGAGTTTTAGATTGATGTATTAGAAGCGTTGGTGCTGGTTGCCGAGGGCTTGCGCGATGGACGACGAGCTTCCCGTGCCCATTCCGCGCCTGCTGGGGTCGAGCGGGGGGGAGGAGTTGCGGCAGCAGGGGCCCCGGCCCGGTGGGGGACGATGAGTGCGAGTGGGCATGCGGCTGAGACTGCGAATACCCATGCGCCTGATGCGAGCCGTGGTGGGCATGGCCCGGTTGCCCGCGGTAGATCATGCCATTTGCGATGGACGCCGAGCGTGTGCGATAGGGCGGGGCGGACTGGGGCTGCGTCTGGTGGGAATGGGAGTGCGACTGGTGGGAATGGGGATGGTGCAGCTGTGTCGCGTGTGCAGAGATGGGGAGGCCATAAGCTGGCGCGGGAGAAGACGATTCCCAGCGGCGGTCAACTGGGAACCAGTCCTGCCGACTGTCGAGGTCGAAGCCGCCATTGCTACTGCTAGCCGCCCCGCGATAATAGTCCATGCCGGTAAAACTCGCCCCAGCATAGGCCGAAGACGCCGAAGAGGTCGAGGGGGAGGAAAAGTACATCGCAGAGCCGGGGGTGGACGCGCTGGCGGTGCTAGGCGGCGACATGTAGTTCCGGGAAGAGGGCTGGTCATTGCCCAGGCCAATGCCCAGCCCCAGGTTGCTGATGCGGGGCTCGCCGATGTGGCGACCGTAGCGCGTCGCCGCTGAGGCTGGCATCCCGCGGGCTTCGGTGTGGAGACGCAGAAGCACGTCTGCCCCGTCCTCTCGCTTTTGACCGTGAGGGCCGCCTGGCAAGGACATTTCGTCAGCAGACAAACTGCGCGGAGGATGCAAGTCGGGGGACAGCGAGCTCAGACTGCTGCCTGGGCTGCTGCTGCGTGGAGAGCGAGGGTGGAGGGAGAGGACTGGGGGAGGAGGGGTTGGCGATGTAGAAGACGATGATGACCCAAAGCCTGTCATCGCCGTTGACGACGACGAGGCGAAACCGCTCATGACTTGCAGCCCGCCCGGGACGAGGGTATCGACGGTGGCTACCCGTTGGACTCGCGTTTTGCGGCGCTTCTTGTGGGGGGCTTGCCGGCGCAGCTCTTCCGGGTCCCGGATGTCGAAATGGAGGCGGTAACTGCAGATTGGTCAGCGCTGCGCCTACGAGAGAAGGAAGAGTGAGTGGACGCACTGTTGCCGCAAGTTGTCCTTCCGCGAACAACGTGTCGTACAGCCCGGAAACGAGCAGACGAAGTTCATCTCCCCCGTATGGACTCGCACGTGCCGCGAGAGGTGGCCGCTCGTGGAGAAGCTCTTGGCGCAGTACGCGCAGCGATGAGTCTTTCCTGGACCCGTGTTGGATGGCGGCGGGGACGGTGTCGAGGAGGTGGTCGTTGAGGGAGAAGTCATGATGGATAACGGGGAAGGTTAAATTGGGGTGGTGTCGACTGGCCCCTTTCGGTCTGCGGCGTTAGAAGACCAAGACGAGGCAACCGATGGGGGTGGCAGCGAGGATAATGCGTGGATGGGCGCTGGCGGGGAGCGAGGCGGAACAAGGGCGCGGGAAGCGGGTAGCGGGTAAAAGGTGCAGCCAGCGAGGCGAGAGAAAGAAAAACGCGTCTACCTCCGGGGGCGCCATTTCATTTAAGGCGATCTGACACACGGGTGATACACCGATGGCATCAGCTGCCAACCCACCAACACGCCAACATGGTGCCTTGCAAATTCGGCCCGATGGGGCTGATCTGCGTGGCAGAAAATCACGATCCCGGCGAAGGGGGTGTTGCGTAAGCAATCGGCGGTTATACTGGATGCGATCGCGATGCAGCCACGCGGGGGCGTGGTCACCTCATAAACAAGCCAATACAGCTGACAGTGGCGCGGTCACGCTCGCCCGCCAAAATGAAGAGAGTGATCGTGAATTCGTTGACATCGGCCGCCGTGCGGGGGATCGACCGACGCCCACCGAGGGGAACGGGCTAGGGAAATGGGCAGCGCTTTCCATATACCGAGCACTCGTGGCCTTGTGTCGCGCGGCAACCGTCGCCCCAGACCTCCGCGCGGTCTTCCCAATTCGCGTGCTTACATACGCAGCACCCTAGACTTTGTCGGACCTCCGGTGCGAGTGCCCCGCTTCGACGACTTCGAATTTCGAGTAGGTGGGGCGCCAAGCGCCCAGGCCTCCGCCATATGTCACGCTGCGCTGGCCCGCCCGACCCGCACAGGCGTGATCGTAACACACGACTTGTCGTAGCGCCAGCGCAATAAGAGGAAGGGCAGGGCCAGGCACGGGAACTGAAGGAGTATGGTCGCCGGCGTGTGGTTGGTGGAGCGCAACGGTCGCTGTGGAATGTAATTGCAACAACTGCGCGCATGTGACACGTGCTGAGGAGCAGGAGTAGGTCGCGTAACGTCAGCGCCGATCTCGCAAAGGAATTCCTCGGGGAATTCGCTAGGGCCAGTACCATCGTCATGAAGTCAGGGAAAATTGCCTACGGGAGCCTATGGTCAGCCTCATCCCTCCTCATCCGAGGCCAGGACAACCCCCCTGAAGACCATCCTGTGGCGCTTAAGCAGGCATAAGACTGGCAAATGCCCAGTAGGTGCAACAGCCAGCTAGCAGCACCCTCAAACGAAAATAGCCCCCACGTGGCCGGCGATCGAAGAAGATAGCAAGACGCCGCGCCGACGACAATGGCGCTTGATCGCCCGAAACGGGCGTGTCCGGTAATCCGAATTCAGGGACGTAGTGCAGCCTGCTGCGCCTGCAATAGTGCAAGCGCCATCGATAAAGCCAAAAGGCCAAGCGTCGGAAGGCCCAAGGTTGCGATGTCCGATTGGATACGGATGACGCAAGTGCATGTGTGCGAGGGGGCAACCCGCTGCGCGATGGGGAGAGCGTGTTGTTGCGGGACAGTGAGGGGAGGGAAGGTGGAGTTGGCGCGGTTATAAATACCCAGACGACGCGGATCATGACCGACGCGGGGCGGGATTCGGGAAGCGACGTCGACAGCGGCGGCCGCGCTGTCTTCGCCAACGACTGCCGTCTGCGGGGCCCGTGTAGGGATTGGCGCCAACGCGAAACTAGGGCCCACCCTAACGTAGCAGGAGGCTAACGCGTATCTACGGCAACCACAAGTGCTCGTGCTCGCCACGTGGCGTCGGAGCGGCTGCGCGGACAGAACCGTCGTCCACTGAGGGCTAGTCGGGGCAAGGCGCGAAGCAGGACGAGACGATGGTGTGTTGCTGGGAAGGCGTCGATCGGAAGAAGGTGGATCGAAAAAATGGCGTGCTTTTCCGCAAGCTCCAATGCAAAATAGAGGCTGTGTGCAGCGGACGGGCCGAAACGCACTCTGTTCTCCCGCTGACAAAGTATTTTTGCAGGTGTTTGAGGGGACATGGGACAAAATCGCCTTCTGACCGATCCTGCTCCAAAGTAGGGAGGACAAAGGAGTGTGAGGAAGTGACCAAATCATTTCGGAGTGTGCGCTATCCGTAGAATTGTGCGCCGTTGCTGCGGAGAGCAGCTGACAAGACGCAAGATCTGTAGAATTCCGCAGAAGATGAAGTGCCAACACATCTGTGCCAGCAAGATATCGTCGCCGAGGATGTTTGCATTTAGGCGGTAGGCAGGGCGAAGACACAAAGAGTTTTAGAGCAAGTAGAAGCGTATCCAGAGCAATGTTCGGCGAAGAGAGCGGTACCGAGCAGCGACATAGCCAAGTAACCACCGGATGCGGGACTCGCGGCCACTCGTCTTGCCCAATCTGGAGCACAGGGCCGTCAGGAGCGACGCAGGTACGGAAAGAGCTTGCGAATAACAGTCAGGAGGCGCTGCACCGAGCAGTGGGTCCGCAGCGGACAATAACATGTCCACAGCAGCGGAGCGCAAGGAATTCCAGGGACGCGGGGCAGGCCGGGGCGGACCCGGTTTCTCCCGGATCTGCGGCCCCACTTACGCTAGGCATCCAGCTCGGGTGAGGGCTCGTCCAGGGAGGCGGTGAAGCGCGGACGGCGGGTCGCAAGAGCCTTTGGGACGGTGGTCGGTGTCGGACAGCGTGGTGGGAGAGAGCAAGTCGGGTGGCGCCACTTCGGCCGCCACGTGGCATCAATCTTTTTTTCCCCTCTTCCGGTCATCATGTCCCGCATCCGCAGTGGGCGAATGGAGCGGCACACGACGCATCGTACAACGCCCAAGCGAGAGACATTATTGTCTTGCAACGTCTCTCCGACTGCCAAGCCATGGCTTCCCGATTCCGAATCCCACCTGGTACCCGGGCCGGGAGGCCCGGCATCAATCGCGAAGATGAATCACTCTCACCCTCCGCCTCTAACAGACAGCAATTGCAGCACCGGGGTTCATAGGAAGTGGGCTGGATTGGAGGCTATAGAAAAGTTAAAATGGGAAAGTAGTAGGCATTCTGTATACCATAGGATACTGTACCATTTCATTCAACTCTCCGCCACTGTGACCTGTGACATTTTGGCGGGACTTGAGAATTTGACCCTTATATTTGGCTGGGATTATAAGTCAATGTGATCGTGACAGGTAGGTTACATTGAATAAAATGGTACAGTATCCACTTCATATTCTATGCCAAAATCATACAAATGGTCCGTGGGAAACGGGTACCTGTACTCACGGATACGGGTACCTGCACGGGTTATCCACGGGTATTTTGAATAAAATATTAGGATACTGAGGTATATTGACAATATTAAGAGCTTATATAGGATATAGTATCCAGTAATATACTGATATGGACACCACAGGGCATAAGAAGACTGTAGTGACTGGAATATATGGAAGATAATGAAAATTGAGACCTTCAAGAGTCATACCTGTACTCTTGGCATCCGTGGGAAACGGATACCTGTATCCGCGGATGTCAAACCTGCGGATGTTTTCCTGCAGGTACCTGTGCAAACATCCGCGGGTGTTGACACTTGTGCGGAGCTTTAAGTATACAGTAGTGGCAACCCAGGGGATATTCGATAGTGTTGTGTTTAGGTAGTTGTTAACGGTATCGACTTGTCCGCGCAGCGGCAAGAGTCGTGGGAACGATAGGTACGCGCGTATATAGTGGTAGCAATTCAGTATCGGTCCGACAGCGATATCGGTTCTTTAATTTGACAGACGGTGTCTGTCAATGATCGTATTCAAAATGCCCTTCGGGCCGTGTCCATTCTGTTTCTGTTTCCGTGTTCTCGTTGAGTCCTTACCCTTTTTTTGTCAATCAGACTGGGAGTGCAATCCACTAGAATTCACTGCCTATGTAGGTACATGTAGGGCCCAATATATACCTTTTCCCCGTCACTCTGTCACGGTGCTGCAGTCACTCCGGACCGCCTCCGTCGCTACCACCGCCCTTCGTCGCTGGCGACGTTGCCTCGTCTCCTTGACGGCTTATACTATGCTTAGTGAGCCGCTGAATAAGGCTTAGCAAGCCTTATTCACCCTCCTTGGCTTGCCTCTCGCCCTCTTGCTGCGCCTTGCTCGTCGACGACCACCACCCGCCGTGGCGCCGCGTGTCATTGTCATCCATCACTCACTCTGCCCCCCATGGGTCAAACCCTTTTTGAACCAATACCACGCCTCTGTCATGCATTCTTGAAAGTGTATGTATGGTTTTGGTAGCCAGCAGAAGGTGTGTCTTTTATTTTTCTCCCTTTTATCACCGGTGATCAGGGTAGATGATGGGTGGGAGGCCAAAGATGAGACTGACACTAGTACACAACCAACACCCAACAACAAAACAATAAATAACCGTTCTATATGATCAATAACTGTGTAGCACTATTCTAACAACCATTAATAACTATCACCCCTGGGAACAGAGCCTCTACACAGATGTGCAAGGTTGTAGGGTAGATTGAAGAAAATCTTGTTAAAGATTTATTTTGTAAGTGTATACTATTGATAAAATTATGTAATAGGCCATAAGCTATTAGGTCTATTACACCACATATGTTTTTATCATTTATCATAATAAGTAATGCATGATTTTTAGATATAAGAATAGATAATGTTAAGTTCTAACATTTGTGCTTTAAACAGCTTTCTTTTACTTTACTAACTTAATCCTTAAAATCCAATCAAAATATTATAATGATAATATAACAATGCTAACATGTAGTCATAATGTAACAATGCTAACATGTAGTCTATGCGTCAGCAGCTGTGTTATTGACTCAACAATATCAGGACTATTATTCATCATTTCTATTAGGCGGCCTTTCGGACTAACCGAGGGTTGTTCGAACCTTTGGTGATGTATTTTGGCCTGACAAACCCCCCCGCGACTTTCCAGACGATGATGAATGACATTTTCCAGGATCTCATTCTTTCAGGAGACGTTATGATCTACCTCGACGATATCCTTATCGCACATTCGGACCTCCGTAAGCACCGCGAGATTGTCCGCAAAGTCCTTCGGAGACTCCGAATGCACAAGCTGTACCTTCGCAAGGAGAAGTGCGACTTCGAGAAATCGTCGATCGAGTACCTGGGGGTTATCATCTCTCACAACCACGTCGAAATGGATCCCGTTAAGGTCGCCGGAGTCTCCGCATGGCCTCCGCCCGAAAACAAGAAGGACGTCCAGCAGTTTCTGGGGTTTGCTAATTTCTACCGCAGGTTCATTCGGGATCTCTCGGCCCTCGCGCAGCCTCTCTTTGCGCTCACCAAGAAAGACCAGAAATGGGCCTGGGGAGACGCCGAAAGCCGCCGCCTTTCAAGCTATCAAAGATGCGGTCGTCTCAGAGCCCGTCTTAGCAATCCCGGACGACTCTCGGCCTTTCCGACTTGAAGCAGACAGCTCAGATTATGCGACGGGGGCAGTTCTTTCACAACAATCAGCCCCGGATGGGAAGTGGCACCCTGTAGCGTTCTATTCCAAAAGCTTAAATGATGTCCAGCGCAACTATGAGATTCACGACAAGGAGATGCTCGCGATCATCCGCGCACTCGAGGAGTATTGGCATTTCCTAGAGGGCGCCGCACATCCGGTCGAGATCTGGACTGACCATAAGAAGTTGGAGTATTTCCGAAAGGCACAGCACCTTAACCGTCGGCAAGCCCGATGGTCGTTGTACCTTTCTAGGTTTGACTTCACGCTGCACCACGTCCCAGGTCGCCAGATGGGCCGCCCCGACGCTCTCTCCCGCCAGCCTGACCACGGCATCTCCGAAGACAACTCGGACGTCACCCTCTGGCGCCCTGAGCTTTTCCACGTTCGCGCGCTTGAGGCCGTCACTGTCTCTGGGCCTGGGTCCGAACTTGTCCACGACATCAAGGAAGCGCTATCCGGTGAGCCTGACCTAGAGGAGCCCGTCGCACTTGCGGCCCGGCAACTCTTGAAGGTCCGAGGTCAAGTTCGGGGCCCCCGCTCATCACGTTCGGACGAGTGGGCCGTCTCGGGCGATCTCTTGTACTTCCGCGGCAAGGTCGTAGTCCCCAAAGACAAGGACCTAAGGAGGCGCATCATCGAGCTCTGCCACGACACGCGAGTTGCCGGACACGCCCGGTCGGTTCAAAACCCTAGAGCTGGTTTTGCGCAACTACTGGTGGTCACAGATGTCCTGCCATATCGGACGCTACGTCGCGACCTGCGACTTGTGCTGCCGCACGAAAGCCCTCCGAAGGCTCCCGCACGGAGAGCTACACCCGACCGAAGTCCCCCCCGAACGCTGGCACACCGTCACGGTGGACTTCATTGTCGAGCTCCCGAGGCTCATGGGTACGACGCGGTCATGGTAGTCGTCGACGCTCTTGGCAAACACACTCACTTCACTGAGTGTCATACGACAATAGACGCAGTCGGAGCCGCCCAGTTGTACTATCGGAATGTCTGGAGGCACCACGGAACCCCCGAGAAGTACATTTCGGACCGTGGTTCGCAGTTCATTGCTGACTTCACATGCGAACTCTGGCGCTTAATTGGCATCAAACCGGCTACCTCTACGGCTTACCACCCGCAAACCGACGGTCAAACCGAACACGTTAACCAAGAGCTCGAGCAGTACATCCGGATCTTCACCAACTACCAACAAGATGACTGGGACGAGCTTATCCCCGCTGTTGAGTTCGCCTATAACAACCATGTTCACTCCTCCACTCAACAGGTACCCTTTATGAGCTTATCCCCGCCGCTGAGTTCGCCTATAACATTAGAACGACTCGGCCCTCCGAGAAGTTCTCCCACAAGCGCCTCGGACCATTCAAGGTGCTCGCAGAGGTTAGCAAAGGTGCCTACAAGCTTGACCTCCCCCCGCGTTACTCCAAGCTCCACCCCGTCTTCCCGGTTGTTAAGCTCGAGCCCGCTCAGGACAACCCTTTCAATGGACGACCCCGCCCCCCGAGCTAGAGGATGGAGTCCCCGAATGGGAAGTCGAGGAAATCTTGGATGCCAGGATAAGGTATAAGCGTCTTAACTATTTCGTCAGGTGGAAAGGCTACGACGCTTCACACGACTCGTGGGTTCGGTTCGACCGTGTCTTTGCGCCAGACAAGATTGCGGACTTCTATCGGAGGTACCCGGGTAAACCACGGCACATCGCCTGAGCGACCTTCGACTCCTTGCCCTTTCAAACTATGCGTCGGGACGCCGCATTCAAAGGGGGGGGGTGATGTCAGGGGAACCCCCGCTTCGGCCTCCTTCGGACCCTCCGAACGCATCCGAGGCGCATCCGACCGGCACCCCCTCGGACGCTTCGACCCACCCCGACCATCGTCCACAGCCTCCTTTAAAATTGCCCGCACAATCACTGATCCTTCAAGAACCTCCCAACGATCACCTTGGGACAGAGCCTGCGACGCCGCTCCTTCTGCGCTCTTACGTCGGCAGTTACGGACGACCAGTATATAGTTGGTGCCCTAGCAGGCGGACCCTTAGAGTTTCTTCTCTTTGGATCCTCCCCTGCTATCGGTCCCTCTGTGTATTTCCGTAGCTTTTATTCACGCTTTGGATCCTCCCCTGCTAGGCTTTCGTCGGAGTCTCCAGGGTTGCCCTTACAGAAGCAAGGATCTTGTTTATAGGAAACAAGTGGCTAGGAAGCAAGCTTGTTTGCATATTTGAGTTAGTATCCTGTGTCAAGAACAGATACATTCTCTTGTTCATTTTGTGAAGCACTTTGGAGGTTGAGCTTGATTGTTCCTTCTTCTGTGTTGCATAACAACAGTCCAAAAGTGATCTGTAGAAAGTTCTCAATAAGCAGATTCTATTGCTATATTTGGATATTCTGAATCCGTTAGTTGTTTCCTGCAACTCGAACCCCCGAACACACACACATACACAAACAATTAGTGGATTAGTAGACTAATAGGGTTGAGGTCTTGAGTGAACTCCTCTATTAGTTTACTTTTACTTTCCCAGTGTTATTATATTGGAGCCCACCACGAGGGGTTTCATTCAGACATCCAATTGCACAATTCAAAAAAGAAACGGGCAAACACCACTCCACTTTGTTGACGTGCTGGCCCGCGGCAGTGCAAAGATACCGCCCACATCAAAAAAAGAAAAAAAAAAAGAAAAAGGAGTCACGGTTAGAATACACACACGGGCGCAGGGCGGGGGCGAACACGCGCTGGCCCTGGGAGCCACGACGCGGGCGCGGGCGGCGGCGGGGACCTGTCGTCCGTACAGGCGACCGTGACTGGTAGGTGCTGGTCACTGGCAAGCATTTATAAAGGCCCGTCTGGGTATTGTCCAGACACCTCATCTTCATCCACCACTCTCGGCACTTTAGACAGCGCCTGCTTCTAAACCTTCCATGGGATCATGCCAAAGTGCTGCGCCTGGATCATCCCATGCAGTCGCACGTAGGCTTGACCTAGTGGTGTAGACAGACTGTCCTTCCGTTGCAACGCCCTGCTCTCACCTGGATTCGGCCGCAGCCTAGGGTTCCTGGTTGACTTGCAGGAGTTTGCGGACCAAGCCTCGCTATGGCCTTCTTAAGTGACTTTGGTCGTCCACTAAAAGTACACTATTCTTTTGCAGGCCCGGGTGCGGACTTGGTCGGTGTGCGTGAAGCGGCAGGCACTGACGGGGCGGGGTATGTGCGCAGGCACGGGCACCCGAGAGTCGATTGCACACGCCACCCGCTTCATCGCCGGGCCCCGGCCCGCGGCGGCGCAAGCGAACAGCACCACCGGGCCGGCGCCGCAAAAAAGAATCACCATCACAATCGCACACGGGCGCGGGGCGGGGGCGAACGCGCGCCGGCCGCCGGGAGCGAGCGACGACGGACGCGGACGCGTCGTCGTGTGCGTCGCACAGAGGCACCGGCCCAAAAAAGTTCACGTCACACACCCCCTTTGCTCACCGGCGGGCGCCCGCACCCACCTCGACCTGCGCGTCCACCTCCACCTCCACCTGCGCGGGGCCCGTGCACCCGCGCGCGTCCGCACACGGTTTACGCACACACATCAAATCAGCGGCATGAACGCATAACTAAGAAAAGGTGGTATACGGATAGCGGGATATACACTATTTACAGCGCGCAGACATATGGGGTACGTACACAGCAGACAGACAGGATACAGGCGACGTCGGTATTAGGTATTAGGCGGGCCAACGCGGGCCGCGGGTGTCTCTTTTGGTGGGCAAGGCAAGGCATGCAGGGAGATTGTGAGGAGGGTATGTGTGTGCGCGTGGGTATCGAGGCGCAGGTAGCGCGGCAGGGGTGGGAAAGGACATGGCAGCGAAAACGGCAGGGGTGTGTACGCGTGGGGGACGCGAGTCAGCAGGCCCGGGCGGGGATTAGAGCTAGCACAGCCCACGCACCAAGCCTCCGCATCCGCATCCGGCAAATCAGGTTCCGCACGAGGCGCGCTAGCGCTAGCCCTAACTCCCCCTCCCACGCGTCCACAGCACTCGCCGCCCTAATACGTATCGCTCCTCCGCGGCCCCCGCCGCGCGTCGACGCTCTTGCTCCTTCCATGGCCCCTGTCCCTGTCGCCGAGCCCGAACACGCGCCGGAGGAGAGACGGCTCCTTCGGCGTCGTCGGCGAGCGCGGGGACGGCGGCGGCGGGACGTAGCCGGGCACGTACACGTAGCCCTTGTTCCCGCCGGGGTACGGCGTCGCGGGGGGGGGGCGCGTACATCGGCGCCTGGGCCGGAGCGGGGGTAGGATAGTGGTATTGAGGAGAAGGCGGTTGTTGGGCGTAGGACATGGCGCGCCGGTGGCCGTGCGGGGAGTGCGGGGAGTGCTGTTGGGGCGGGGGCGCGAGGATGAAGTAGGTCTGCTGGCCCGGCTGCGGCTGGATGTAGTACTGGTAGTACTGCTGCTGCTGCTGGGGCTGCGGTGGCGGGTATGGCTGGGGATGGGGCTGGCCGTACACGTCCCCCCTGGGCGGGGCCGTCTTGGGCCGGGCCGGGGCGACGACGCTCCTGCTGCGCTCCCTCGTGGGCGCGGGCGTGGGCATCGGCGGCGGCGGCGAGCGGCTCCTGTGCCGGCGGCTACTCGAGTGTCTCCTCTGGCTCTTCGCGCGGGGGAGGTCGCGCTGGCCGGGGACGGGCGTGGGGGGCGCGAAGGGGTTCGCGGGCGGGAAGCGCGCGGTGTCGTCCGCCCAGCGCGAGATGCCCGCCTGCTTCCGCAGGTGCCGCTCGACCGCCTCGGGGCTGTAGTCGTACTCCGTCATGTCGTGGTATTACGGGCAGCGGGGAGAGGCGGAGGGGGGAAGGGAGGAGAGGAGGGAAGGGGAGGGTGAGGGCAGAGGGCAAGACGCATACCCGCAGAAATTTTTTCTACGTGTGACGACAAGGTGACGGGTGGCGCGGATCGGTGCCACGCTGTCACCCGGGCCCGCGGGTGCATTCCCGCGCGCAAGACGCCGCCCGCGTGCTTCTTCCTGCCCTTCACCCTGCCGTTTCGGGCTGCGGCCACTCGGTGTCCGTCGCCGGGTGCGACCCCGCCGGGCCCATGTCCGTCGCTGTGCAGGGTGCAGTGCTAGCGTCCGCGCGGACCTACCCGTGCCCTCGCCCTGGCAGCTGTTCCCTTACCCGTTCCCTCGCTGATACCGGGCCCCTGCGTATGTGTCACTGTGTGTGCGTGTGCGCGCGTCATCAATGACCCCTTCCCTTCGTTCCCTTCCTTCTCGAGTCATGGCAGCCCGCGCGCGGCGATCGCGTATCATCCTCGCATCTGCCCCTTCCAATCGCGCCCATCGCAGCGCCCTCTCTCATCCCATCTCTCGCATCCACCCATCGCGGCCCATCACCTCCTCACACCGCCTCCGCCGCGCGTCCGCGCCCATATCGGGCCGCATCGCGCCTATCTTCGCGGACCTCCCCGCATCTGACTCCGCTGCCACCCCCGTTCTCCCTACACTGGGGCGGACGCGAATCCCAATTTCCCCGAGGCTCCCTTCGCATCGCGCCCACATCCCCGGACGTCGACACCGACACCGAGCACCTGTACCCTATTCACGCTATTTATGGTATTTATGGTATTTATGGTATTTATGGTATTTATGGTATTTATGGTATGTATAGTATTTATGGCGCCCTCCATTCCTATCAATCGCGCCCGGCGAACAAGCAGCAACTATCGCAATCCTCGTGTTTATATGTGTACGCGATAGCCCCGTGATAGACAGATCAATAGGCACTGTGGTCGGAGCAGCCCGTGACTTTCACGAAACTCAGTCACGGGCTTGTTGCGCGAAGACCACAGGGAAATGCCATGAAATCCACCCAGCAGTAGTGGATTTCATGGAGCCACTTTCATAGACTTCAGCCCTGTGAGTGGAACGTTCCACAGGGTTGGTTCACACTTTTAGTCCATGGAATGTATCTAGTCTATACATGAATATATTTCACACTGTTGTTGCTCACTCAGGATTTTCTTAAAATTCATGGAATAGATAGATGGAAAATGCTTGATTAAGTACATGGAAAATACTTGATTGAATGATGAGTCCCCGGACCGGCCGGCGTCCCACGCACACGCGCACGCCGACAGCGACCCCTTCCGTCGCCGGCAAGTGCCCGGCCGCGGAAATCGACGCACGAAGGACGAGGCCGCCAGTCCTTCCTCAGTCCACGCCATCCATGTGGAGCACAGCAACCCCTCCTCCGGAAAACGACATATGCTTTTTTGGCAGCTTGCATCCTAGCCGTCCTCTATCCAGTTTTCGCTTCTCGGCAAACTTATGCCAACCTTTGTTAGGGGGACCCCCGCTTCGGCCTCCTTCGGACCGTCCGAGCGCATCCGAGGTGCATCCGACCATCGGCCCCCTCGGACGCCCCGACCCACCCCGACCATCGTCCACGGCCTCCTTCACCCGCACAATCACCGATCCGTCAAGACCCTCCCAACGATCACCTTGGGATAGGACGACCAGTATATAGTTGGCGCCCTAGCAGGCGGACCCTTAGAGTTTCTTCTCTTTGGATCCTCCCCTGCTAGGTCGGTCCCTCCGTGTATTTCCGTAGCTTTTATTCACGCTTTGGATCCTCCCCTGCTAGGCTTTCATCGGAGTCTCCAGGGTTGCCCTTACATCGTACTGATACTTTCCCTACTTTCACGCGTTCTACCTCGAACAGCTTTTAACTTTTTTTCTAGCTTCAGACATTTCTGAAAATCATATTTTAGAAATAAATAATACTCAAAAAGAATAAATATCTCATGTGCATGCATACTTGTCAACATAGAAAGAGACATGAGGTATGCTCTTGTCTTAATATTGTTGCTCTATCTCTCTAACTTCATGACAGGCTTACAAAAAATATCTCCATGAACTCATATGTCTTCACTGTTGCCCACATCAGTACCCCTAACCTCTCTCTCAGAAAAAACAGAAACCAGCAACAGTTCTGAATGCAGATGTCATTCGTGCAGGTGTCGCAGCACTGCTTCCACAAGACTTGATCCCGACTGGTTCCACATAGCGGTTGGCCGGAATGGCAGTAAATTTATAGTGTAGCGCTGTCCTCTAATCGTACCAATGCAAGCAATCCCAATTCTTTCTCAAGCATACTGCAATGGGGCCGTAGTTGTTTGATGAGTGTGCCAAATGAACTCTCCTCATCTCAATCCATGCCTGCAGGGTTTTGCAGCGCGCGCATTGATACATAGGATGAAACGAGATGATTTTCGGCACTCATAGCATACCGAAAATCATTGCCATTATTGGATGAATCGACATAAAATGGAATCTGATAGCAACACACCACTTTTTCTCACTCAATCCCAACTGTTACTTCCAAACTGTTCCTTCCAAGCTTTCACTGGGCTTGAACTCCCAGATCCACCTCCACAGACTCTATCAGGCATATCACCACCACTATCTTCTAGTAGCAGCCTTTCAGATGATCCCTCTGGGACCCGGTGGGATGACTAAACCGCGGCCCATCGTCACAGGTAAACCAGGCCATAATCAGCACAAATCAGTGCCAAGGGTTTAATCACTTGTCACTGTAAGGGCAACCCTGGAGGCCTGAGATCAAGGTCCTAGCAGGGGAGGATCCAAAGCGTGAACATTGGTAAGCGAATACAAATTAAGGCTCCAACCCAATACTATCCATATACACCCCACACCTGTATTGTATTGAGATACGGATACTATACAGTTACTACCCAATATATTGAGTATTGAGAAATAGTATACTTTATAATTTTTACTGATTAAAACCCTAAGCAGTAACCTCAGTAGCATTCTCCATCAGCTTGCGCTTCTTCCTCGGGTGGTCATCGGGATGCACAACATCCAAAAGTCCAGCACGAATCCATGTCTTTGTCAGCAACGCTTGTCGGATGGTCTCGGCTTTGAGAGAGCTGCGAAGGTCAGTACAAATGTGTCGTGACTTTGAGAAGGTGCGTTCGACGGATACACTGGTCGCGGGGATTGCCAAGTAGTTGCGTGCCATCTGTGCAAGCCTAGGAAAGACCGCAGCATGTGCCTAATGGATATTAGCCAGGAGGAAAGGGAGAATTTGCAACGCACCTTCCACCATGTCAGTGGTTGTTCCAACGAGCAAGCAGCCCCTTGGAAGTCAAGGTACCGCCTGACCTCGGCACTGATAGTCTCTTGTGTATTTGTCGACTGTTGAGTTCCTTCAGGCCTCGAAAAGGCACAGGCGGACGCAAGAAAGCCTCCAGACGCCGGTGTGTTCACTTCTGGGGCTGGTGTTGGTGGAGAAGCCTGTGCGAAACCGGAAGGATCAAGCAAAGAGTATCCCGCTTGTGCCACATGCAGGAATAAGATCTCCGCCTTTTTTATTTCAGCTGATTTTGCTGTCTCGTCACTGGCAAGCGCATAGTTCGAAAACCAGAGTGAGCGTAAGGCAGGATGGAGAACTACAATTTCACGTCAGATTTGACACGCTTGAGAGTGCGAAACACAATACATACTTGTTCCCAGGTGATAATAGTGATTATTCCGTGCCAATAAATGGTACTTTTCCAGCTTGACGCGTGCGACAGTTACCGCTCGACGCAAACTAGGCAGTATAGTGGTGTCGGCCGCAAATTTGTCTAGTCCCTGCTTCATGGAAAGGTACATTGGGAGGACGAAAGGGATGGTCGGCATTGAAGCATGCGACATCTGCTTTGTTACGTCGGTGAAAATCTACTCAGTCAATAGTCGTAAGTGGATATCCCCCCAGAAATCAGTGGCCAAAAATACCTCGAGCACTTTGCGCAGCTGTCCGAGGGATGCCCACTCGGCGCCGGAGAGCATCAAGTCCTCATACTCTGCATGCTCGTTCACCCACAATTTAATGGCCTGAAATGAATGAGTCACAGCCAAGCGCGAGCTTCGCGAACCTTTCGGAGCGTTTCAGCACGGGAAATAAGGGCATGTGTCGAGCACCAGCGCGTTCTGACATCCCGCATAGGGAGTAAATCTGCGATTCTTCGGCCTTCCTTGCCATGTTGTTGGTTGCCATATGCTGTTGCCGCATTTCGTCGAAAGGCCGACCGACGTTTGGGGAGGATACAATCTTGTTGCAAAGAAATCGGAGCTATCTTTTTCAGCAGTGCTGTAACTGAAATTGAGTGCGCACCTTTTCCAGAGCCGATTTTGTAGCGAGTTCCTGCACAATTGACTCCTCCGTCTCCTGATCGATCGCCTGCGCCAATACATCGGCGCTGGGTGTACCACTCAAATCAATGACCTCTGGCTCGGCTTCCATCTCCCGTTGATCCTCGTCCGTTTCGGGGTCGTAGTGAAATGGTAGATGCTTGTGAAGCTTCGTACCAATCGATCGTATCTGTACTCTCGCCCTCGCTCAAGTCATGCAAGAGATCCTGAACTACAAGATTGACTACGTGCGCGATGCATCGGATTTGCTTGTCTGGCTGCCAGGCGACACCATATTTCTCGAGCAAGATACGAGCAACGGTTTCGCATATGGTATCGTTCACAGACGCATTGTCTGCGGTTATAGCCTGGAAGTAATAACAATGTCAGCACAACAGACAAAACAAAGAAACAAGAACATATCTTGGACAGTCCCCCGACGCTTCGCGCCACTCTGTACAAATGCTAAGCCGCCGAGAACACCAGCATGCTCATCCTCTTCAAGCGGGCGGAAGTCAATGACGCGTTCGATTAAGTTCCAATCTTCGTCGATGAAGGACGCCATCGTACATGCAAAAGTGAAGATCATCTGGCGGTTCGTCCACGTATCTGTCATG